CCCAGTCCCAAATAAAAATAAAGCAAATGAACCCACCGAAAACTGCTTGGCAAATATTTTTCTCGTGGTGCCTAATATTCTAGCTGGAAAGAGCTGTAGTGTTTATTGTTGTTGTTGTTTTTTTTTCCCTCTTACTCGTCTCTCTAAACCTCCTATACGTAACATCATTGTTCCAATGGTTCAAATTTCTCGCTCCCTTTTGTGTATTTAGCTTGAGGAGCTGAGTTTATGGGTAAGAGGGGAAGAATCAGCCCCAGACCCCGGTAAAGAAGAGCGCACTCCCCCTCTTATGTCACCGAATAGCAAATTAGTTCTCAGAATTCCAGAGGCCGAGCTTTGCTACAGTGAAGACGTGACGTCACAGAGGAGGAGCCCACGTGACGGTGGCGGAGCAGACTGCACCATTATGCAGGGCTCGGGGAGGGAGAGCCACTTTCTGTCCCCTCGACCCAAGTAAGGCAATTCTCATATCCAAGGGGCTTAATCCCATGAGAAACTCGAAACATGCAGAATAGTGAGAAAATATCGTGGCTTAGAGTGAATTTTATGGGCCGAGGGAGGTAAAAATTGCGGAGAGCTGACACGGAGTCCTCCCCTGCTACGTAGCAGTGGTAAAGTCCGCAGCTCAAATTCCGAGAATTGAGCTCTGTTGATTCTTAGAACTGGGGTTCTTAGAAGTGGTGATGCAAGAAGTTTCTAGGAAAGGCCGGACACCAGGTGATTATTGCTGTTGCTGCCGCCGCCGCTGCCGCTGCCGTCGCCGCCGTTGCCGCTGCTGTCGCCGCCGCTGCTCATGATCATTATTTTACCTTTTAATTCTTTTTTTTTTCCGCTTTTGCCAAATGCTTTGGCTCCAAGTTTCCTATATGCATCTATTGATATAAATGTATATATTTATTTATTCTAGCTGTCAGGTGTTAAAATAAATGCCGAAGATTAGTCCCACGTCTCTCCCACTCTAGGTCATAGATTTTTATATATTTATTAGTATTATTATTTTGTTGTATTTGAGTGAATCGGCCGGTTTGGGGAGGCTTTTGCCACCCTCCCTTAGATTGTTTTGGTTTTTGAAAAGGAGGTGGAGGAGAGAAGGAGGGGAGTTCGAGGGGCGGCCGGAGCGGAGAGGACGAGGCAGTGTTTAGGGGGTGATCCGGGCCAGTCTGGAGGCTGTCTGGCCTCGGACGGCGGAGAGGACGCGCGCTCGCGCTCTCGCTTTCTGCTGCTGCTTGCGTATGGCTTGTGATCGCGCTGGATTCGTGCGGCTGTTCTCTTTCCCTCTCTGCTCGCTTGCAAACCGCCTTCCTCGCTCCCCGGCTCCAGTCTCCCCTTCCCTCCCTCCCTTCTCCTCTCCCGGCCTCTCCTGCCTTCCCCGATCGCGTCCTCCCGGGCAACTCCGGGAGGCTGCCCGCTGGATTGCTCGCTCGCCCGGGTGGCTCCCTTCCCCCGGCCTTGGTCCCTTAGATTCCCTGCCATCCAGGCGAGCTGAGATTTGGGAGGACAAATGCAACCGAACTCCTCTGGCGCTTGTTTGTTTGTTTTTTTCCTTTTTGGTCATAAACCCAGATGAAGTATTGTGTCTACTCTTTTCCCTTCAGAGCCTTGATCTTACTAAATGAAAGACGAATGTTTTTGGTGTCCCTTTCCTCCTGTGTTTTGGGGAGGTTTTTAGCTTGGATGGGGGGGCGGGAATGTTAAATACTTTTTGAAAATTATTCTTTCTTGGTTGTAGTCGTGGGAGTCGGGACGCCCCGCGCGTTCCTTCTGCCCATCCCTTGCAGAGAGGCTGTTGGCGGGACGGATTTAGGGGTGTGGGGGCGGGAAAGGGGTGCGTGTTTGCACCTGCGGCGTCTTTCAGCTTTCAGGGACGCGGGGAACCTTGACAGGACAGCCCAGGAAAGCGAGAAGCTGGCGGGATTTCTGGCAGCGGCGGTGTTTGTATTTTGGGCGCTGCGTGACCGTGTTGGCTCTCCGTGGTTGTTCCCTCCCTTCCCTAAATTTTATTTTATTTTTCCCATGGCGCAAGGTCTGTTTTAAAAAAGGCAAACTGTGGGCCTGAGTATAGCGGGCTCTAGGCTTCAGATTCTCAAGGTCCTTGCACCGGGCCAAGGGAAAGACAAACAGATCCCCAACCTGCTGTCCTTCCTGTGCAAGACCCGGGAGGAGAGAAGGCGACTTTGTGGCTCGGACTGGGGGACCGGGCGCGGGAGGAGCGGGTGAGGGCGCGAAAGGGAGAGCTCTGTGAGTGATTTTGGGGGGGAAAAAGATTGCGAGGTTGGCTGGATTTGCAACCTGTAGCTCTCCTCAAGGGAGTAGAAGCCGGGGGGAAGGCGGCGGCGGCGGCCCGGGGCGGGAGTGGGTAGCGAGTTGGAGCTTCTGAAATCGGCTGCGCTGGGGGCGGAGGAGCGAGGGGCCACCCTAGTCCCGGAGATAGTGCCCTAGGTACTGTGAATGTCTTGGAGAACTGTGGGCCGCTTTACCTTTATGCTACCATGTTATTGGAACTCTGGCGGAAAAAAAAAAATGGAACTGGTGTTGCAATAATGTTTTAAAACTCCCCCATGGAAAACAAGAACATAACCCAACAGATTTTTGTAAAAAAGATCTTCTGTGTTGTGCCCCCTATCGTAAAGGATAAGACTTGGTGGTGGTGGGCAGAGTGGAGATTCTGACAGTTGAGCTGGGAGCATGACCCAGACTTGGTGCTGAAAGCTCTCTGACCACCTCTGAAAGCCGTCATCTCTCCTAGGAGAGCTGTATCATCTGTTATGGTTTTTGTGTATTTTTTTTCTTCAATCGGTTTATAGTTTCCAGGAGGGAAATCCTATGACGCTTTACTTCTCAAAAAATTTTAAATGAATGTCAGTAGATACTTTTTTTTTTTTTTTTTTTTTTTTTTTTTTTTTTAAAAAAAAAAAAGAAAAAGAAAAAAAAGTGGGGCAGGAGAGATGAAACCAAGGAAAGGGCTGTTTAGAAATACAGTTTGTGGCTCTGAGCAATGCCACCGGCTTCCTTTACAGAGAGAGCCAGTTTCCCTTTTTCTTTGCAAGGTGTGTGTGGTTTTCATAAATAATGAGGAGGGTGGGAGAGGAGAGGTGGGGGAGAGGAGAGCAGAGATCCAGCAGGAGACAGGTATCTATTTTGCTTACTATTTACTACCAAGAGCCTTTGGCACTGAAACAGAACCTCGTAAATCTGCAGTCCAAGTTGAAGTTCATCTGGCCCTAGTCCACATGCTATTCCTGGAGGTAGCAAATATGAGCTCAACAGAGTAAGGTGAAGTCACATTTTTGCTTTAAAATATATGCTGTTTTTCCAAAAAGAAGAATGCTATTTGTCTCTAAGGGGGGGGGAGCAGGAGATGGCTATTCTCTTGCTAAAATAACTATAATTGAGTCTTTAGGCCAAAATAGAAACCTGTAGATGGGAACCCCCCCAAGTTTATAAATAGAAGCTTCTAGTATCCTACTTGGAAGACTTTCCAATACTGCAGGCTCGAGCATTGGATGACTTTAAGGGTCTGTTGATAGTGACAATAAAGGCAGATGCTGTTCTGTAAAATAGGTGATTTAAAGGAGGAGATGGCCATAAAGAGCAGGAATCCTCCAATTGTCTTTTTCCTTTCTTGCTCAGTTTTGAAGCCCCCCCCCATGCTTTCTTGAAAAGACTCTAATTTATTCTGGGTTTGGTGGACAGGGACGGAACTCTTCACTTCTTAAACTGTCATTTGCTGAGTCCTTGAAGAGTTCTTGAGTTGAGTAAATGGTAGCCAGGACTAGATGTCAAAATCCTTCCTTCCCTCTGTCTCCTGCTGAGTAGCCTCGCTCACAACCCATTTTGCTGTGAAAAAACTATTGAGTGGAGGTGGTGCGGCAGCGCCACCCCTCGGTGAGTGAGACTATTGGAAAAAGTTAAATATTTGAAAAATAACTGTGTAATGACCTTAATGAAACATTTTTTTACCCTGGGGAAATTTTTTTTCTTAAATCTAGGGAAGATAAAACCAACTTTGAAGAGAAATACTTCTCAGTTGATCTCTCCAATAGGGAAGAAGAAAACACTATTTTCCAGCTAGGTGGTCACAGTAGGCAGCGCAGGTCCGGTGCTTTGGGAAAAGGGGAGCAAGATGGGGTGTCCGGTTGGACTTGAGTAGACAGTTCTCCAGGTCGCGGCATCGCCCTTCCCTTTGGACTTGACTTCTCTGGGCCTCTGGATTCTGCCGCCTGTCTGATAGTGAGATAAGGAGGAATGTTTTGGTGTCTAAAAGAAAAAAAACATAGTCGAGGCTGGAAGTGCAAGTAATTTTACAGTCGGTGGGGTGGGGGGGCAGGGGACAGGTCCTTGGATGGCGTGCAGCGATGCGAGGCTGGTCTGCACCTCTCGGGGACTCGGGAGGGCGCG